TAATTATTTAGTTAAAAAGAACTTTCCAAAAGTATGATCGCATCAAATCACTTTTATTATTATTGAAATATATTTAAAACTAAACTCAAAGTTGTTCTTGAGGAGTCAATTGATGGATAATTGGCTTTTAAAATTAATATTATTTAAAAAAGAAATTTCCCTCTATTCCATTTCATTTTTGTCCTAAAATTTTTAGAAAAGTTTTTTTTTTCTTTTAACTTTATTTAACCCTTTTTTTTTTCTCTCACTGAACTTTTTAAATATTTCTCTAAAATATTCGTCCCCTTCTCTTTTTCAAACTTGTTTCTTCCAAAATTTATGTCTCAGCTGTTTTCTTAACTTTTTTTTCCCCTCTAAAATTTCTCAAGAACTTTTCTCTTTTCTAAATTTTCTCTTCAAAATTTCTTAGTTCACTCCATTGCTAATTTTTTCTCTTTCTAAAAACTTTCTGAAACTCTCTAAATTTTTATCACCACTTTAACCTTTGTCTCTAAATAATTATATATTTACTTTTAATGAAGTTTAAAAAAAATGTTGTAAATTAACCAAAAAATGTGAGCATAAATAAAAAAGAGTTTTCCGCCCAAACAAGCTCATGATTTCGTGCGTTAAAAAAACATCACATATGACAAGAAATTCGTAAGCGTGTTTTCCAACCAAAAAACTTGATCCACCGATGATTTTTAAACATCCAAGTTTTCCAACTTTTTATAACCGTCATGAAAAGTCAAGAATAAAAAAAAAACGATGTATTTTCCCGTCAAAAATATTCTCCACCATTTTGTAATGTTTTTTAAACGTCACAAAAACGTGTTTTTTCCAACTTTTTTGTGATGGTTAAAAAAATCACGAAAAAAAACTCCATCTTTCCTGAAAAAAACGCACCACACCTTAAAAAAACGTCATGAAAAATATATTTGCCCAACTTTTCATGATGTTTAAAAGCTAGAAATTCAGAAAACTCTGTCTCTTCCCTAGAAAGAACACACATCTCTCTTTCTTGACGTTTATTAACCGCCACGAAGAAACGTGTTTTTTCTAATTTTTCATGATGGTTAAAAAACATCACGATAGATGAAAGATTCGAAAAACTTTGTTTTTTCTACAAGAAAACAAGATATTTTAAGTTTTGTGACTTTTTTTTTCAACAGCTTTTACTGTTTATCACCATTACGAAAACTTCAAACAGTAGTGTTGATTTTATGTTTTTAAAAAACAAAAAACAAAAAATAGTTATCAAACATATATGAAACTTTTCTAAAGTAGAAAAATGAAGAACTAAAAACATACATGGTTATTAAACGGGTTCTTTTCACCTCCCTCTAACTTTTTCTCTCTTCAAAAATTGTTTTTCCTTTCCATCATCTCTGGCTTTTCTTTCTTAAAATTTTCGGTAACTCTCAACATTTTTCTCTCTTTTAACTTTTATCACTTTCTAACCTTTTTTTTTTCCTCTCTATGGTTTTCATCAACTCTCAATTTTTTTTTCTCATGATTTGTAGTAATTTGATCATTCACAAAGGCAAACAAACATTGACATTTAAAATCACTTTCAAACCACTTTACAAAAATACTCATTCTAAAATTAGTTCCATACATATCCGTATTGTCTTTAGAGTGCCTCATCGCAATGTCTCTAATGGAGACATCAATTCAACTGTAGCTTAAGTGATTAATTTTTTTAGTGAAATAGAAATGATTCTCTAAGGAAAAAAATTACAAATTAATCTATCAAATTAAGTAATTTGAAATCAATTCATTTTTCTTTATCAATTAATCTATTAAATAAGTAATCAAATAGGGATTGAAAAGAAAGCCCTATAATTTTTTTAAAAAAGAAAAAAGTCGTATAATTTAAGAAATCTAATAACATAGAATACAAATTGTCGCAACGTCATCGCCACGCAGTTTAGTAAAAACAATGATATAAAAATAAAAAATAAAATAACTTTAACTTGAGAAAGCAAAAACTTAAACCTATGGACATGCAAATTTACCCCAAGCATCCTACCACTATGCCAACACCACAACATACAATCAAAATTTCCTTTTCCAAATACAAATCTTTTCTTTGTTTTAATATTTAAAAAAAAAAAAGAAAACTAAAAACTAAAACCGAAAATTAAAAAAAAAAAACTTTATTTTGTTTTAGATTTGAAATCCGTATAAAACAAAATTCCTTAAAACTTATTTTTTAAAAATCTCATTTAAAACAAACTTGTTTAAAAAAATCATATTTAAATTAAACTTATTTAAAAAAATCATATTTAAAACAAACTTATTTAAAAAAATTCATATTTTAAAATGTTTTAAAAAAAATATTTAAAACAAACTCATTTAAAAAAATCATTTTCAAAAGTACACGCAAGAAGAATTCCTTAGTGTGCCTGAGAGTCTGAAGCCATGAAGGAATGCTCTAGTTACTGTGTTGGTGGAAATCGGTCACCAGAGATCTGTGTGTCGGTCGTCGAGGCTGCTGTCGTCACCGGAGGTGTCGTGGCTGCCTTGGAGGTCACCGGAAAAGAGTGTATGCAGTCGGGAATGTGGACTTAAAGTGGGAAGAAGAGGGGAAGATGGGAGATGGAGGAAGAGGAAAACGGCGAAGGAAAAATGGTTTTTGGAGAGAGAGAGTGAAATAAAAGCAAAATGAAAAAAATGTGAACTTAAAAAACAAATTTTCCTCACTTTTTTCCTTCCTCTCCTTCCTCTATGCAGTATTCTTAAAATACTAAAGAGGACAATGATAACAAAGGAAAAGGTCAAAAAGGGAGAAATATGGGGTAGAGAATGTGACATGTAAACTTTGAGGAAGAAACTGCTGCGTTTTGCAAAGTTAGAGATTTTGATTTACTTTATACTTCATATTCAAACACAAATATTTCTTCTCCTAATTAAGATTCAATAAAAAAAAAAACTTAAAGAATTATTTTCAATACGTTTGTCGAAAGTCGAACCCAGGTTTATTGCTTGAAAGGCAATTTTCCTAACCGTTGGACTACAAACGTATCGGTGATGTGTCCACTAAAATTACTAAAATGTAAGGGTATAATGTTACTAAATTAAAGAGGGATTTTAGAGAATTATTTTTTTGTCTTCTCCGTTGTATCACCGCACCACTGCAATACATAATTCCATTGGTTTTAATATTAAGCATAAATAAACAAGAGGATAATGGGTGATGATAGGTTTATCTACTTCTTATGCCAAATTGAATACTAAATTTTTTATCATTTTTGAGTGGTCTTCTGGCTCGTCGAGAGATTACATATAAAGAATCTCTTCAATAAAGATTATCGATGTTCAAGTTCTTGTTCGATGATTTGAATCAATCTTATTTTGGTAAGAGGTGTGAGTTCAATGAAGTAGTTAATTATTTAGTTAAAAAGAGCTTTCCAAAACTATGTTTGCGTCAAAATCACTTTTATTGTTATTGAAATATATCTAAAACTAAACTTAAGGTTATTCTTCGGACGAGCCAAGTTATTGATGGATAATTGGCTTTTAAAATTAATATTATTTTAAATAAAAAAATGTCCCTCTATTTCATTTCATTTTTATCCTAAAATTTTTAGGAAAGTTTTTTTTTCTTTTAACTTTATTTAACCCTTTTTTTTTCTCTCACTGAACCTTTTAAATATTCCCTTCTCTTTTTCAAACTTGTTTCTTCCAAAATTTGTCTCAACTGCTTTCTTAACTTTTCTTTCCCTCTGTAAACTTTCTCAAGAACTTTTCTCTTTTCTAAATTTCTTTACCTCCTTCCAGCTTTTCCTCTCTCCAAAATTTCTTAGTTCACTTCATTGCTCATTTTTTCTCTTTCTAAAAACTTTCTGAAACTCTCTAAATATTTTTCCCTCTCTATAGTTTGATCACCACTCTAACCTTGCTCTCTATGGTTTTTTTCTCTCTTCAAATATAATGCTCTTTTTAGTAATTTGATCCTTCTCAAACCATTCATGAAAATAAAAGTTAACATTTTGTTTGAGGAGGAAAATCGCATTGCCACATGGAGGACAAAAAGAGGTCCACCTGGACACATTCAAAAGACCGGGCCACCTTAGATGGTTCTGAGGTGCCATACTTGGTCATAAATTCATTACGGGAACCATCCTGTAGCGCGACCAGCATCCAAGTTTGACCCACAGTTTGAGACATGCCCGACCTACTGTCCGACACCCATAACCACCTGCTAGAAGGCCTGTCAGACCCCAAACCTATAAATTTAGGGTACCAGTGCTGCACACAAGTATTGAATTCTATCTCGAACTTAATATTGAGTCCGAACTACCACTTGTTGGGAATGATAAATAGTAAAGGGACAAGTGTTAGGCCATGATTCTATTATGTGTTGGAAATGGTAGGGTCGAAATTGGAACAATTGAGAAAAAGTCATTGTGTCGTGGGTGGAACCACTGCCTTGAAAGCAAAATCGGACATGACCTCGGTGCTAAATTATTTTACTACCGGTATGCTCCCCAAGTTTAATACAACCACCAACTCAGACGTGTAGTCGTGGGAACAGAGTGAAATCAGAACTAGCTCAGGAAATCCTTAGGAAACACAAATTGAGTAGAGAGGGGGAGAAGAAAAAAATAAATCATGAAAGAGTGGTGGGAGAGTACCAATTTATAGTGGTTGAAAGATCCAAAATAGATTTTTATTTTCCAAAAAATAAAAACCTTCAAAAAACTAAGGCCTTACATGTGTCTCTTTGAATGCCAAACTCCCTCCAACCTTGTCACTTGTCCTTTGACTCCCATTTAAAGAGCATGTGTCCCTTTGAATTCCAAACTCACTTCAATCTTGCCACTTGTCCTTTAACTTCAATTAAAGAGCAATTTGAGGCTACTTTGTTTTACCATGGCATTCCCAACAATCTCCATGAATGACAAATAGTAAAATTAAAGAAGAGAGAAAAATGATTTTCTGAGCAAAAAGAAAATAAACTTAAACATTAATATCTTTTGATTTGAATTAATACATAGTGAAGTGAAACAACAATCTAAGTAATGAATTCGCAGTGTTTCACCATATCCATCCAGTTCATTCATGGACCACCCAAAGAAGAGCTATAGATTCACATATACTTCATTACATCCATCAATTCCATACATGGACCACCCAAAAGAAGGGCTATGGATTCATGCCAGTGAGTAAGCATCATGACTTGAGTCTCATACATCATGAGGACTCCAGAATTACTCTCCTTATTTAGCCTTTGGTGAAAGGATCTGCTAAGTTCCTCTTGGACCTCACATACTCCAAAGATATAATTCCTTCTTTCAGAAACTGCGTCATAGCTTCATGTCTTGGACGTATGTGGCATCTCTTGCCATTGTACACATTATTTTTTGCAGTCACTATGGCAGCTTGTGAGTCATAGTGTATAGATACAGGTACAGAATTCCCCCAGAGTGGCACATCTTCAAGAAGACTTCTCAGCCATTCAACCTCTTGACCGGCCAGTTCAAGTGTTATGAACTCAAATTCCATGGTAGAGCAAGCAATGAAGGTCTGTTTTGCTGATTTCCATGAGATAGTTCCACCGCCGAAAGTAAACACATACCCGTTAGTGGAGCTCACTTTATCATTATCTGTAATCTAGTTTGCATCTACTTTCTAATACAGCATGAAACTTGTTAAAATGTAAACAATAGTCCATTGTACCCCTAAGATGCCTTAACAACCGATGCAGAGCAGTCCAATAATCTTTACCAGGGTTATGAGTGTATCTACTCAATCTACTTACCACATATGCAATATCATGTCTAATTTAATTCATTAAAAACATGATACTACCTATGATCTTTGCATATTCAGATTTAGATACACTATCACCTTGATTCTTTTTAAGACTCATGCTAGCATATCATAAGGTGTTCTTACAGGTAGTTTATCAAAGTGATCAAATTTTTTCAGCATTCTCTCAATGTAATTTTATTGACATAAGGAATATCCATTATCATCTTTCCTTATTTTTATACCAAGTATTACATCAACCTCTCCTAAATCTTTCATTTCAAAATTTGAAGAAAGGAGTAACTTGGTCTTATTAATGATATCTAAGTTTGAACCAAAAAATGAGCATGTCATAAACATACAAGCATATTATCACACTATCAGCTCCAAACACATGTATCAGAGCAATCTACTTTATAAATATTGTTTACTAAAGTGTCATTAAATTTTTCATACCATTGTTTAGGAGCTTGTTTTAGGCCATAGAGAGATTTTTTTAAGTTTGCATACTTTATTTTCTTGACCAGTAATTAGAAAACTTTCAGGTTGTGTCATATAGATCTTCTCTTCTAAATCACCATTAAGGAAAGCTGTTTTTACATCCATCTAATGTATTACTAACCCTCGAATAGCAGCTAAGGCTATCAAAGATCTAATTGTAGCAATCTTGGTTATAGGAGAGTATGTCTAAAAGTAATCAATGCCATACTTTTGTATATAACCTACAACCACAAGTCTAGCTTTGTATTTTTCTATCATACCATCTGGTCTCATTTTTCTTTTAAAGATCCATTTACATCTAATAGGTTTATTTCCTACAGGTAAATCTACTAATTCCTAGGTTTGATTCATAACTATGGAGTCTAGCTCACTTTTAATAGCTTCTTTCTGGGCTATAGTCTAAGACATTTATAGCTTCTTGTTATGTTTTAGAATCTTCGTCTATCAAATATATGCAAGCAAATCGATCATCTATCTTGTCAAAGTTTTCTACCAGATAGGAAGTTATAAAGTTAGGTCTGAAGCCTTTATTTACCTTTTGCTTTTTACTTTTCCTAGATTCATAATCTGTTGGATCATTTGATCTAGGTTTATGGTCTATCATATCAATAGAAGTGGAGGGCAACGACATGCATGCAGTTTTTGAAATACCACTAGATTCACCATCAATTCTAATCATATGGAAGATATTTTCAAAAAATATTGCATCTCTATATTCACATATTGATTTATCATTCAAGCTCATGAACCTATATGCAAAACTATTTTGAGCATAACCAATGAAAACTCAATCAAAAGTTTTAGATCCAACTGTAGCTTTTTGAATGTTGAATATGCCACCTTTGCTAAGCATCCACACACCTTCAAGTAGCTCAAATTTGGTTAATACCCTTTCCAGAGCTCATATGGTGTTTTATCCCGCCTTTTGTGAGGGACCATGTTAAGAATAAACAGTTGGAAAGTGCAGTTTCCTCCTACATATCATCAGATAAACCAGAAGCTAATAGCATGACATTTATCACTCTTTTAAAGTTTTATTTTTCCGTTCAGCTATTCAATTCAGTTGAGCTAAATATGGAGTAGTAAATTCATGTATAATTCCACTTGATTCACAAAAATCTCTAAGCGAATTATCACTATATTCACCACCCCTATCTGATTTTATCCTTTTTATCTTTCAGTCTAGTTGGTTTTCTACTTCAGCTTTGAATTTCAAAACATACTACTAGCTTCATCTTTAGATTTAATGAGATATATTTTCGTATATCTAGATAAATCATCAACAAAAGAAATATAGTAATTTTTTCCACCTCTGCTAGTTGTGTTTTTGAAATTAGCTAAATCAAAATGAATTAATTCTAGAAGTTCAGTACACCTTGCAGTGACAAGTTTAAAAGGTTTTTTTAGCAAACTTTGCTTCTACACAGACAAGACATTTTGTAGTGTCAGGCAAATCAAAACCATTAATTATATTTAAAGTTTTAAGCATTTTAATCAATGCAATATTCACATGTCTTAATCTACCATGTCACAAATCAAGAGACTCAACTATGTAAGCAGAACTAGAATTAATTTCATTTGAACAAGTAGTGTTGAGAACAAACAAACCATATGCTAAATAGCCCTTACCAACAAAGTCACCATTTTTTGTGATAATAACCTTGTCGGGCTAACTTAAACACAATCTTGAGTCTGGCTTGGTTCAGTAGACCTCCTGACACCAAATTCCTACGTAAAGAAGGAACATACAACACATTACTTAATGATAAAGTTTTGCCAGATGTTAGTTTCAAGAGAACCTTCCCTTTCCCAAATACTCCAGCTGTGGCAGAGTTCCCCATAAAAACACATTCACCATCAGCGGAGTCCTGAAAGTTATGGAAGAGATCACGGTTCGAGCAGAAATGTTTGGATGCTGTTGTGTTAAGAATCCAGTCGGATTTGTTCTCTACCAGATTTGCTTTCACAACCATAGCGGCAATAATATCGTCCATCTCTACAAGGTTGGCTTGTGGAGTAACCCTTTAATCTTTCATATCTTTCCTCTAGGTGCACTAATAGAATTTGTGTCCAGATTTTCTACAGGCATAGCATACCAGTTTGGATTTCTCAATTATTCTACTAGTATTTTTAGGTTGGAGACCTTTGTTCTTTTGAGCTCTATTCCTTGCAATTAGCTTCCCTTTGTTTTTGAACCCGTCTTTGGAAGTAGTAGAAGATTCAACTAAGTTAGCTTTAATTGAATTTCGGGATTGAGAAGAGAGCTTATCCTTTAACTTGTTGACTTCTTCTACACACATGACTGATCAGTTCTTGCAGAGTTCAGTCCTTCTTCTTATGTTTCAGGTGGCTGCGATAATCACTCTAGGAAGGAGGAAATTTCTCGAACGACACATTGGCCTGAAGAATCTCGCACATCTTCATGCCTTCAGACAACACACTTGCCACCAGGTCCTTGTACTCATGAACATGATCCATCACCGGTTTGTCCTACGACATTTGAAATTGTAGCCATTTACCGACGACGTACTTCCTCCGACCTGCATCATCCCCACCATATCTAGACTTTAACGTGTCCCAAGTGACATTTGTAGATTTTTGGACTACAATAAGATCAAATAGAGAGTCGTTCATATGGTTTAGGAGATACCCACAGACCGTTTTGTTGTCTTTTTCGAATTTGTTAGTTTCAACGACAGCGGTAGTAGATGTCCTGAGATCAGCAGCAACAGCTGAAACGGTGGCAGTGACAACAACAGACGAATCAGTGATGACTATAGTGATGGTAGCAGCTGTGGCTACAGCGGTAGCAAAAGCGGCAAGCTGAGCAACAGTGAGGATATAGTCGATCTCCAACTGCTCAAAGAAAATTAGTAACTTCTGTGACCATCAGGGTAGTTGGATCCATTGAGTGGTTCCAATTTGACAAGTCCGGCAGGACCTTCCCAGATCGGATAACAGCCATGGGTAGATGGGTATTGCTTTCAAATTGTTGGAAATGGTAGGGTCGAAATTGGAACAATTGAGAAAAATTTGTTATGACGTGGGCGGAACCACTACCTTGAAAGCAAAATTGGCACTATCTTGGTGCTAAATTGTTTTACTACCGGCATGCCCTCCAAGGTTAACACAACCTCCAACTCAAACATGCATTCATTGGAACGGAGTGGCATCAAAACTAACTCAAAAAATCCTTATGAAACACAAATTGTGTAGAGACTGAGAGAAGAGAAGAATGAATGATGGAAGAGTGGTGGGAGAGTACCAATTTATAGTGGTTGAGAGGCCCAAAATAGATTTTTATTTTTTCCAAAAAATAAAAACCTCCAAAACCAAAGCCTTACATGTGTCTCTTTAAAGGCCAAACTCCCTCCAACCTTGCCACTTGTCCTTTGACTCCCATTTAAAGAACATGTGTCATTTTGAATGTCAAACTCCCTCCAATTATGCCACTTGTCCTTGGAATCCAATTAAAGAACAATTTTAGGCTAGTTTATTTTATCATGTCCCAACAATATGTAGTCAAAGGACACGTGTTGTGTCATCGTTGTTTTGTTTAAATTTAAATAAAATTTATTTAAATTCTATTTTTGGTCTCCTGTTGCACTATAAATTCTAGCTTCATCAACTTCTTCAGATCCTCCCATTTTCATATTCTCCCATTCTGTCTCCTATTCCCTCTTTTGAAATGAAAAGATTCTTTGAGCTCGAGTTTGATTACACTCTACTCTGACAAGTGCACGTTTTAGTCGAAGGTTGTGTTAACCTTGGGGAGTATTCCAGCAATCAAATGATTTAGCACTGAGGTCGTGCCAAAATTGCTTTCAAGACAGTGGTTCGTCCCACGACACAACGATATTTTTCACTTAATCCTCCTTAAGTTTCTACACTATTGACTTGACTTTCAGAGTGTGCGCCTATCTTGTGCAGGTCATTCCTTGACAGAGCGAGTCAACTATTACGCGTGTCCGACCATTCTATTTTACGCATAAATACATTCCAAAGCAGTTTCAATGAAATAAAAAATTGCCATTAAAATTTGAAAATCAAACATTAAAATGATTTATTATTAAATATTTTTACAAAAGTAATTATAATTAAATCACTTTGATAATCAACCTGAGCTTAACTCAGCGGTAATTAGTATCTATCTTTGATAAAAGGTCATGAGTTCGAATCCCCTCTTCCCACTTGTTGTATTAAAAAAATCACTTTGACAAAAATATTTATACTAAAATCATTTTCAAACATGTTCCTGTCTTTGGAACAATACAATAGTTTTTCTTAGTAGCTCATCAATGTCCCAATTGTAGCCTGAGTGGCTTTTTCTTCGTAAAATAGAAATTATTCCCGTAGGTGTAAAATAATTTATAGTACATATTAAAGCCACTATTAGAAAAAAAAAATTGCTAGGTTGAGGTACTTAAATTTTGAGTCTGACTTAGTATGGAGGCTGAGCTAGAATACGATACCTGACTGAAAAGTGAAGTGCCCTATTTATAGGTTGAGGTACCCGACAAGGAATCCGACCAGTGGTTGAGCATGTTGGGACCAAGGTCGGTCTGTCGGGAGTAGCTACTCCAGTTCATACTTTATCATCTAGAATTTGGCTAAGTATGGAAGGTTGTTCCTCCCTTAAATGATCTCTAGGGAAGACCTTCATATCGGCCTTTAGGGAAGGCCTCAGGTCGGCCATTAGGCAAGGCCTTCAGGTCGGCCATCAGGCAAGACCTTCAGGTCGGCCCTTAGGGGAGCTCTTCAGGTCGGCCCTCAGTGGAGCTCTTCAGGTCGGCCACTTCAGGTCGGCCACCAAAAGGAAGATCTTCAGGTCGACCACTTCAGGTCGGCCAACAAAGGGAAGACCTCTAAAGTTGGACATTTTTCTGTCTTCCACGTGGCAATACGATTTTCAACCCCCAAACATTGGCCCCCTTTCTGGCTGGTCCAAGTTCAACCTGGTAGAGAAGTTTTTACTGAGTTTGAAAATTTGCCTAAGTGGTGACTTCTGTCTTTCGAGATTGAATTAGATCACACGTCGGACGTCGAACAACATATAGTAGGTCGGACATCGAACTCAGTGTTATGGTCATGATCTGAGCCAACTTTGAGAAACTCATCTTAGACTTGTCATGTTGATTAAGCTTGGTATTTGAAGAAGCTTGACCTAAGTTGGGCACTTAGGAGTTTGAAGTAAGAGTTGAGAAGCTCAACCTAAGCTTGGCGCTTAGGGTTGAGTAGGACATGCATACTTTGTATGGGGTGAATTCAATCTCATCTTTTTCATTTCGAACTTGTTGTAATTTTTCGTACATCGCACCTCGGACTTGTAAGTTTAGAGGTTTGAATTTTTTTCTTATCAAATTACATCGCACCTCGAACTCATAAGTTTAGAGGTTTGAATTTTCTTTTATCAGATTACATCGCACCTCGAACTCGTAAGTTTAGAGGTTTGAATTTTTTCTTGTCGAATTACATCGCACCTTGAACTCGTAAGTTTAGAGGTTTGAATTTTCTTTTATAAGACTACATCTCACATCGAACTCGTAACTTTAGAGGTTTAAATTTTTTTTTATAAGAGTACATCTCACCTCGAACTCGGAAGTTTAGAGGCTTGAATTTAGTTTTGAATCGTACATTGGCACTTATGCCATTGGGAGTACTTGGCCCCCATTGGAATGTAGGTCGGCAGCCCCTAAGTTGGATCTGCCATGATGGATGAAATATGATCAAACGATTGAAGTTCTTTTTTTAGATGAGGATGAGCTGCCAAATGACTTTTCTTCCTCTAACCGGGGATGAGCTGAGATGGAGCTCTTCCTCTTGGCGAAGTTGAGTTATCTGATATGAAACTCTTTCTCTAGCGGGAATGAGCTCTTTCCCTTACTGGGATGAGCTATGATGATATCAGCTCTTTCTCTTGCCGTGGATGAATTGAGATGAAGCTCTTCCACAAGGTGGGGATGAGCTGAGATAAAATTTTTCCTCTTGGCGTGGTTGAGTTATCTGATATGAAGCTCTTCCTCTAGGCGGGATGAGCTGAGATGAAACTCTTCCTCTTGGCCAG